TGTTTTTAATTAACAATAGAATAATAGAAATTAAATGGTTCATCTAGCTACAGGTAATAATAAAAGATTTATTTCAATGGATTGAAGTTGATATTGGAAGATTTTTATTTATTAGAACAAACTTTTATTTTTTTTTTTAAAAAAATAAAATTTTTTTATCTCTTAGAATTACGGGTTCATTTAGGAGTAACAATCTGAATATAGGCTGGTATTGGTTTTTCAATATATAGACTTTTGATATTTAATCTTGAAAAAGATCAATATTGTTATTTCTTATGATCGCATTTAGAAAGTTTAAATTTAGAAAATCCAAGCTAGTTAATATCATACAATAATAGCTTGATAAACATATTTTCTTACAGTAAGATAATTAGTAAATAGCAGTAATATGATAGTCTTAATATTAAGGATTTAAAAATTATATATAAATTCAAACTTATTAACAGGTGTTTTGCAAAATTGTGCCAGTTTAGCTTTAGTATAATATTATATATATTGTATTATTGTTTTCCAAAATTGGATAAATAAGTACTTATATTTGTAGTTTAATTAAAGAAAAAAAAATAATAATAAATAATGCTCAGCATCTTTTATAATATATAGTGATTTTAATATTTAATATACTGTATATATATTTTTTTAATTGACTAAGAGTATTATATGCGAGACATTTATTAAATATTTGTTTGTAGTCATTATATCAAACATCTTTACAAAGTAGGCTATTGTTATCCTAAATGCAAATTAATACTATTTAATAATCACTGTTTCTAGTAACACTATTTTCCCTAAATCAATTATGACATATCTAGTTATACGAATTTTAAATATCAAGTAAATGATTTACACACCAGGTGGGACTTACATAAGGGGTAGAAATCTTATCACTAGTTTTAAACCACCTAATCTACTAGATCCAGTTTCGACTGCATCTGTCATGGGTAGAGCACATTGTAGAATATTATTATAGAGATTGATTCCAATATTTCATTCGCTGTTATCATTGATCTTTGAGATATATCACTAGTATAGTGTAACACTACCATTTTCACCACTTGTAGAACTGGCGTTTTTATTTGAATTTTGATTTAATCTTGTAGATTCTCACTAGACTTATTTGGCTTAATGATTTTTGTTTAGTCTTCTTATCATCTGTGGCTGATACCTTGTCCATCAGTTATATGATTAAGTTTCATGAAATATTACTATTGAAATAGATCTATAAGCTTTATATTGAGATAAATTAACTTATAATTAATTTCTTTATGTTGTGTGATGGAGTCTGCCATCACCAGTTTTGGGTTGGAGTTTGTAGGCTTATTACTGAAGTTAGATTAGAAACCTTTCCTTATACAACCTTTCTTGCTTCAATCTGTTTTTAGCCTGCGATCATCAGAAAAACCAGAGGTTCCATCTTCATACAGCTCAACTAATTTTTTGGAAAATAATTTTGCAGCTAATTGGGTATGACATAAATTGGAAGCCAATCAACCAATTATGAAGGTGATAAATTTTTGTAATCAGATGAAATTAAATCCTAGACCTTCACCTGGTGACTTATAAAGCTTTACCACTAAGCTATAGATTCATAGGTCTTGATTTTAATATTTATTTTCTTTTACTATATAAAGATTAATGTAAACAAGCTAGTATTAAATTTATTAACTTAATATGTTATATAAGAAATGTTGTTACTTTTGTTATACAGAAAATCTAAATTGTTTATAATTAATAAAGTGACAATATTTATTTATAAATAAATAAATATATATATATATTACAAATTTTTTTATTTAAATAAAATTATAATTTTTTTTTATTTTGATTAATTTATTTTTTAAAAAAAATTTTTTTAATATTTTATATTATTTTATTTTAATAATTTTTAAATTTAATTAATTCAAAATTAAAACTAATTTGATTCTTTTGAATAATATTTCAATATAATAAAAATCAGACTGATTTAAATATAATAAAAATCAAACTGATTTAAATATATTAATTTAATCTTATTTTATAATTATATTATTAAAAAATTTTTTTAAATTAAATTTATTTGTATTTTTTTAAAATAATTAAAATTTATTTATTATATTATATTTATTGATATTTTAAAATTAAAATTTTTTTGAATTTTTTAGATAACCAAATATTTTATTTATTATATTTTATTATTGATTTTTAAAATTTTACAAAAATAAATAATTAAACTATATATTTTTTAATATTTTTTTAGTATCATAAAAATAAATATATTTTATAAATCAGATTTATTAATTGTCTAAAGTATAATTAGATATAACAATAACAATGATAACAATAATTTTAATAAAAAATTTTATTTATTTTCAATTTTTTTTTTTTATATTTTAATTACTAAAATTTTTTTTATTTTCAGGATTAATTGAATTCATATTTTTCTTTTCTATTTTACGTTTTTTTTGAAAATACGTATTTGATTATTTTCCAATAATATTATCTTTAGCAATGCTTTTCATATTATATATTAAATGAATTATTTAAAACACGTGTGATTTAAAGATGCGAATTTATATTTTTATATTTTTATATATAGCATTATAATTGATAATAAAAAAAACTTATTATCGTATACAGCATACAGTTTGTTATTACAGTATAATATAATGGCATGCCTTAATACAATATACACTGTATAATATAAGATATTTTAATTACAAATAAAAATAAAATAAACAATGAATAAGCTGAAATAAACGCAAATAAAAGTTTAAATAACCAACAAATCAAAATCAATGGAATGAATGATTTTACTAATAAATTAAAAAATTTTAAATTTCAAATTTTCTTCAACAAAGCATTTATGAAATATACTGCATTAAGAAAAAAATCGATTGATTGATTAATGAAATTAAATTTCGTGATATATTTTATAGAATTTATTACTATTGTGAAAATAAGCAATCATTAGGTCAGATATCAATGATTACTGTACATTGCTACTACCGTTAACATAACGGATGGATTTGATAAATAAAATAATTTATTTATAGGTACCATATATTCGATGCCGATCATCTCGCTTTTACCCGCAGATTAATCTGGTGCAATCAGACCCATATAATGAATCGAATGCCATCTATAGATCACGCTTTTTTTTTTCCCATCTCATCTACCCTAATGCCGTATCTTTGACAGGGGTTTTTGAACATAATTTCATGCACTGTTCCAACCTCAATCTAAAAACAGATTTTTGTAGGGTAAATCTCAGAAGCAAAATTCTATCAAATTACCCCATGCGTGATCCGTTGACTAGAAAGATATACTGGATATTAGCGTTAATGAAGAGCCAAGATTGCTTTTAGGAGTTAGAGCTTCTTTGCTCAATTATTTTAAAAATATAATTTTTTTTACTGTGGCACTTCTTATGTTTTGATCGGACAATCTATTTCCCTAGTTTGATAAGCCAAAGAAGAAACGATTAACGAAAAATCTTCACATGAGCACATGAGCATATAGGTATACGTGTTATGTTTGTATGTAACAAAAAAATGGTATTGTAACAATACATATTGATTTTTATTGTTGTATAATAAATATTGATACTGTAAGATGTGTTTTACCAAAAAAAAACTTTATCACGTGACCAAAGTAGTTTCAGACACGAAGTTTCTTTGGAACTACTTGACGCCTGGCTTGGAGTCGTTGGTTCAAACGTTTTATAATATGCAGGGAAGGCCATTCGATCGTCAATATACTGCAAAACACTCAAACAATATCGTAACACCCTTGGAACTACATCACTTATTGTACGGTGATTTAGAGAATAGAAACAGGTTAAACCTTCGTACACATTTAATATTCATTTGATTGCGATAACGAACATATCAAAAGAAACATGAAAGCTTTTAAAAAAAGAATCATTCGTGAGTGAGTACGCATTGTTATCTCGTAAAATGCTAATGATGATACTGATCGATACATCACTATAGTATGTGTACTGTGCTATGACATCAAAAGCGGCTAGTCAAAGCTTTTTTTCAGTCAAATGAGTCGACAAAACTTTTTTGTCGTTCGCTGGTTTTTTTTTGTCTTGCTTGCTCTTGCTGAATTAAATGACTAATCATGAATACCTGAATGGTATGTCCCATGATTACACGAAGATGATTATTGCGAGGGAGAGGAGACCTGACGCATATATTATGACCCGTTTTAGTAGTTGGCAATTTAGCGTCTGGTGCTGCGCTAATTAGCAGTTAACTTAGTAATCACGGCCAATACGCCGGACCGTAATTTTACTTCTCCGAACCATTCACAATAAAGGCGGATATACTAACAATTGCTGATTGTTAAGCAATTGTGACGGAATTGCGGTTGCAAAGAATGTTCCCGATTCCAGAAGCTTAACTAGTCAAACTAACTATCAAAATTAAAGTGGCGTTTCTGATCTGACATAGTGTACGCTTTTAATTATTGCCACAAAATAAAAAGGATTTCGTTTGAGAAAAACCACTCAAATCTTTTGTTTTTACAGGTGCCTAAGAGTTCGGGTGTTAAACTTCGAGCGAGCAACAATACCGTTCCCCTTTTTCTTAAAAAAACAATATCGATTTTGTCACAGAGCGGGGGATGGTTATGGTTGTATTATGTCCTATATTGTATTAATTACTAGATGAACTGCGGGTGAGTAACTTATTTTTTTTTTTTCCGACAGCTAAACAGGCTATCATACTGATCAACAATACTACTTTTATTAATAAAAAGTTACTTTAAATTGGTTATTAACAAATTGTATCTGGCATCATACCACGAGTTTTAAGTAACACATCACCCGAAAATATCTTGCATTTTCCGAATTTACCTATAAAAACTCGTCTTCGTGATTTTTCGGTTTGAAAACAAATAATATTGGTTTTTCATCGACCCGCACACTTATCACGAGCTACTTTTAAGTCCTTTCTCTATATTTTACCAAAGTCAACTGAAAAATTTAGGAGACTTCACAAACATCAACTTTCATAATGTTAAGGATGAACCCGCCAAGGTTTAATCAACTAGAACCCAAAAATTCGAACTTTGACAGAGTCAAACCAAAGAGTCCTTGTTTTTCAATTACTCCCAAAGGAATAAAAGTTACCGGAACCGATTGTCAAGGACTTTTTACCGATTTGACTCAGGAGAACGATTTCACACTTGAAAAACACGGTATAGGCACCTCTTATCGTCGTGTGTCGCTAAGCGACTTGGATTATCAAATGTGGTTAAAAAAATTGGGAGAAGGGCTTTCCTCATATCTGAGGAATAATGAAAAATTGGAGATCGACAAGGGTAATAGCATGATCATAACAAAAGCAACTCATGAGAATACGCATAAACATATTTCAGTATGACAGATGTTTCCTAAAAAGTTTTAACTCTTTTCGTCTGAATTAGAATCCGTTACACTAGAAGATTTTCCTGATGGATATGTACTATTGTCGCATTCGAGATGCTATAAGGGCAGAGCTTCGTTAAGAAGCGACAAAGTGCTATACGGTAACAATCCTTGTGTCCGTCAACTATTTTCGCACGTCAATTTAATTTCGAAAATATAACGTCACTAATCATATAATGTCATGGATATTTCCATCATCCAAATTAGGTCACCACTTTTACAAATCCCCGCAAGAATTCTTACCGCACTTAATATGGCTGGTTACCAACAAAACATTGATTTGTCGGTGTAAACATTGCGCCGCCGAGTATACAGGCATCGAAAGACGTGCAAGGGCATCCTCAAAACCTGGTTCGCCAACTTCCTTGTCACAAGTCGTTTCCTCACAAACACCTGCAAAGAGGAAAAGAACACATTCGAACTTTGTGCTCGACAAGCTATCTCAAAATGATCATAAGATATATACGCTTTATAGATGCGGGGAGGTCGTGTGGATTGACTTGGAAAAGATAGAGATCAAGAAATTAGAGCTTCTTAAAGACGATTCGGTTAGTCACGGTGTTACAATTAGGTATTGGCCAGGAATTATAATGGAAAGGAAGAAAGCTCCGATACTTGATTCATGTAGAGATCCCGTGTCCGCTACTTCGACTACCGCCGGGTCGTCAGCTAGTTCGAGTACATCAGGCGATTCTTTGACACGGTTCAAGGTCATTTATTGCGTTCAATTGGTGGGTTTATGTGATTTGGTCATAACCGATCGGTTGAAGATGGCTCCTTGGGTTGCATATGATCCGAATATTGACACACAAAACGTATCATCCTCTGGTAATAATCAATATTTTAACTCGTCGATCTGTACACGATATCTTGTTGCATTAATACTAATTGATTTTTAATTATATTGGAGATAAACCAAGTGTTCATCAGTTATATGCTCAAGCAATCCAACGAGTTAAAATAATATCAAAATCATGCACTCCTCTTAATCCTTACAGACACATAGAACATTCTAATAAGATCCGGAAAATTAGAAGTCTTAAGGAGAAAGCTCGGTTGAGGAAAATGAGTCAGTTTCCACATTATAAGGCTATAATTATTGGCTCTGAAGTGGTTTGTTTAGAGGACATTGTTCGGTTGACCCCGATTGAAAAAACCGAACAATCGATCGAACCCGATCCCAAATTTTTGTTTGTTACTTCCATATATGAAGATCCAAATAGGGGTATTCAATTCACAGGAGATGGTTTGTGTAAAGGAGATCTGTGCAGTACAAATCGTAAGAGAAAGATAAGCGATTATGATTGGAACCCTATCAATACAAAGAATGAAGAGTTCACCATCGATTTGGAAGATATAGCGGGCCGATTCTATGTATCATATCCTAATATCTCGGTTACCATGGAGGCTGATACGCCAACGACTTTACAGGATCGTTACAATACCTTAGGAATCGCTTGTGATGACAATCTAACGTTGGATGTTTCTCCTACCATTTGAATAGTCTATATGAAACAGAATTAGAAATGACTTTAATAAGAAGAGATTAAAAAAAAAAAGTAATAATAAATAAAATTAAAATAAAATAAAAAAAATAAAAATAAAATAAAATAAAAAGAATAAAAAAAAATTCTGCATTACGAACAAAAAATAAAATAAAATAAAATCTTTTAATGAAATTTTTTTCGAGTTCAGTATTTCTGATCAACCATCCCATCACAAAAATGGCTTATTGTATTCATTATTATTAACGCGTTTCCTTTATGCACTACAGTATTCGGAGAATTTTTTATTTACTATAATCACTTTTCATGTTCAAAATCGTATACAGCCCTCTGATCAAGAAACATGATACCATTGAAGAATCTCAGAGTTCAGTGATCATATGGTTTCATTAAATAGGAATCAGAAGTTTCGTTCAAAACCGATTTGATTTTAACGTTGAGATTATGAATGATGATATTTTTGCAATAGTATCCTTTCATACAAGAAAGTGATTGTCAAGTGTTATGGATCCATTTTAAACTACAGTATTTGCTATATCATCTTATAGAAATACGATACGGTACATTCTTTCCGATAATGTCACGTCATGTAACGCTATGCTTTATATGTCTACTTGGCGGATAGTGAAATTACGGAAAACTACGTGAATACTTTGATTTACTGCTTCTTTAAGCTAATCGAATGTCAGACGTGTAGTAAATATGTATGTACCTGTATTTGTTACTCAGAATTCCGACGAAATATTATAAGAATTATGGTAATATATAAACCGGCTTATTTTAACAATCCCTGGTTTTTTTAAAAAAAGAGGGAAAGGAAAAAGAAAGAAATAATGGATCTCACAACAAAAAAAGATTTGTTTAATTCCGCAGAAGGTTGTTTCATAACGAAATTTGAGTACGATTCATTTGAAAATCGCAAATTCATCGCGAAAGGAGGTTTCGCTGCCGTCTATAGCGCTTATTTGAAAAGCGCCGAGAAGACCGTTGCCTTAAAAATATTTCATCATGATATCGATGATAACAAATTTTATAAAGGATTCATTACCGAGGTATAATTCTAAAAAGATCATATTGGGTCGAGCATCTGTGTTCTAATACCGTATAATAAATCTTTGTTGGGTATCAAGCTAAAAAATTTAAATGCCGTCAATCACCATAAAAACATAATTAAATTCATGGGCATTAGTCAAGGTATGGATGTATATGTTCTTATTTCGTCGAATTCTTGATTTATCGATACATTTTTAGATCCAGTGGAAAAGACCTATTTCTTGGTTCTCCAATTCGCAAATGGCGGAACTCTCCAGAGATATTTGCGTGAACACTTCTTTGAACTCGATTGGCCTAGCAAGATTAAGATGGCTAAAGATATTGCGAGTGGTTTGAAGTGCATACACAAAGAAAACATCGTGCATCGAGATTTAGTAAGCTAACCATTCTCTTTCTTTTTTATTGTTTTTTTTTCTTTGTTCTTTTTTTTCCCTTTGGCGATGACAACCATTCATTACGTATACCATTCAGCATTCTAGAAACATATTAATACATAAGGGAAATCATTAGATGGGACTTCTGAGTCTATCGTCGGTGGAATGTATGCTTACTCGGATCCTGAATATCTTAAAAATCAAACTGTATATAAACGCTCAAAACCATCCGACATATATAGTCTTGGAGTATTATTTTGGGAAATATCTAGTGGGATACCTCCTTTCAAAGATATGCAGCCTTACGAAATTCCTCTAAAAACCATCAAAGGCGAGAGGGAAACTCCAGTGGATGGTACTCCCGTAGACTATAAGGAACTTTATTGTAATGCTTGGCATCACGACCCAGAGCAACGTCAAAAAATTGAAGATATTTGTCTCAAACTTGACAATATCCAACTAGAACCTGTGTTCAATACTCCTCATGAAAATATTCAACCAAAACCCGATCATATTAACGCAGAAACTGATTTGTATATCCATGATTTTGTTTCCACGTCTGATTCCATAGGTATTTGCTTAAATTTTTAGATTTCATCTGTTTTTTAAGATTTGTAAATGGAAATCTCAACGTTTACAATTACTGAAAATAATTCATTCATGCATTTATCGCAAGAAAAATCCGTCAAGGTATTTATGGGTATCGTTATTTGTCATAAAAAACAATTAGTGCTGATAAAATATTATTTTATTGTGAAAAACTAGTCTTTTAGTGCAGAAAATGAACCAACGGCTATCGAACATGATCTCGGAAAGGATCTTTCCAACGGAAACGAAATTATAAAAGATGATAACAAACCAATTCAATTTCACTCGAGATTAGCTGAAAATGAAGATACCAAAAGACAATCGAGAATAATTCCTTTGTTATTCTTAATTTCAGTAATAATATTTGATGAGTTTTTTATTGAATAACGTCTTATGCGGTATATAGGATGCTACCAATAAAAAGAGACGATTAAATTTTGATATTATTAATAATGATATTATTTTTGAAAAGTTGAATATAGTACAAAGTGCTTAAGTCAATTACTCTAAGATAAGTTCATATTCTAATGGGTAATTTATTAATTCTTGAATTATGTTGATAATTAAAATTTATAATTGAATGTGAATTTGTTGATAATCCAAAAGATGAAAGAATCTGAATTTGTAAGAGTTATTGAAGAATATCCCTTGTAAATAATAAAAAGCACTTACATAAATTGTTGTTGAAGTTTATTATCTTGATTTTCTTTGGAAATAAAAATAATATATGATAATATTTTATTTAAAGCTTTTATTTTCTTGGACATCATGTTTTAAATAATATTACATAAATTTGGATTTAAAATAAGACTGTAAAATCCTATCAGCCTATTTTTATTAATGATAAATTTTTAAACCATAGTTAAAGTTAAAAGGTTGTTTAGTAAATTTTACATTGAGAACATTAAATGTTTAGTGGTTAAATTATTGAAATAAAATATAAGATTATAAAAATAATAATTATATGATTATAAACATTCTTCAATTAAAAATAAAATATTAAAAACAAACTTCAATTTTAAAATTCTTGGTTATTTTGGTTATACTGTATATAGAATCTAATTGTTTTGATCAAAAATTTTTTGAATTACAAATTAAATAATAATATAAAAAGTATAGTTGGTTTTAATGATAGGTTATTGACAAAAAAAATAATATCAAATCTTTTATAACTTTATAATTGAAATTTTGTTAGAGTATTAAAAAAATTTTTTTGTTTAATAATTTTATTAAATTTTATTAAATTTTGAGTAAAGAAAATTAAAAAGGCTCTTATTTAAATAAGAAATTATAATAAACATTTAAACTTTTCTATAATTATTTATTTATAGATATATATATTTTTTATTTTTACTTTCAATAATATTTAAATAGAGTTTCTGAAATTTCAATAATAATTCAAATAAAGTTTTCTGTTGTACTGTATTTGAGAAAATTTTATAAAAAAATATAAGAATTTTTAAATATTTTGTGTTTTTCTATAAAGTTTGAAAAACCTAGATAAAACAATTTTCAAAATTAATAGCTCTTGACCTATTTTATATAACGTTAATTTTTTAATGATTTTAAGTATATTTTTATTTTTTACTTTAATTTTATAATCAAAGCAAAATTGTTTGCATTTTCGAATAAAATAGTTTTATATAAATTTGCAATTGTTAAGTTTAAAAATTATGAATTAAAAAAATATTTTACATGATTGAAAAATGGTTTTATTTTGCTTTATTCTAAAGAACCTTTTGTCTAGTTCAATATTTTCTGATCAAGAAACAGGTTATCATTGAAGACCTTCAGAGTTCGGTGACCATATAGTTTCATTAAACAGGTATCAGCGTGTAAAAGGGAAAAGAGAGAAATTTCGTTCAAACCCGATTTGATTTTTAACGTTGAGATTATGAAGAATGTTATTTTTGCAATACTATTCTTTCATATAATAAGTGTGTTCGTTCAACAAATACACGATGATAACGTCACGCCAGTGTAACAATATGCTCTATATGTCTACTTGGCGGATAGTGAAACTACGGAAAACTACGTAAATACTTTGTTTTGCTGCATTTTTAATGTCAGACGTTTAGCAAATATGTATGTACCTGTATTTGTTACTCAGAAAGCCGACGAAATATTGTAACAATTATAGTAACATATCAATGGTAATATACAGTATAAATCGGCTTATTTTAACAATCCTCGGTTTTTTTAAAAAAAAAAAAGAGAGAAAGGAAAACGAAAGAAATAATGGATCTCACAAAAAAAGATTTGTTTAATTCCGCAGAAGGTTGTTTTATAACAAAATTTGAGTACGATTCATTTGAAAATCGCAAATTTATCGCGAAAGGAGGTTTCGCTGCCGTCTATAGTGCTTATTTGAAAAGCGCCGAGAAGACCGTTGCCTTAAAAATATTTCATGATATCAAATTTTATAAAGGATTCGTTACCGAGGTATAATTATAAAGCGATCTTATTGCACAGTACATTAGGTCGAACATCGGTGTTCTGATACTATATAATAAATCTTTGTTGGGTATTAAGCTAAAAAATTTAAATGCCGTCAATCACCATAAAAACATAATTAAATTCATGGGAATTAGTCAAGGTATGGATTTATGTATATTCTTATCTCGTCGAATCCTTGATTTATAAATGAAGTATTTTTTTTTTCCCATTAATATTTTTCGCTCTTAGATCCAGTGGAAAAGACATATTTCTTGGTTCTTCAATTCGCAAATGGCGGGACTCTCCGGAGACATTTGCGTGAACACTTCTTTGAACTCAATTGGTCTAGCAAGATTAAGATGGCTAAAGATATTGCAAGTGGTTTGAAGTGCATACACAAAGAAAACATCGTACATCGAGATTTAGTAAGCTAGTTATTCTCTTTCTTTTTTTGTTTTTGTTTTTTTCCCTTTTGCGATGACAACCAGCATGTAAACTAATTCGTTACGCATACCATTCAGCATTCTAGAAACATATTAATACATAAGGGAAGACTGATGATTGCCGATCTGGGGCTTGCAAAATCATTAGACGGGACTTCTGAGTCTATCGTCGGTGGAATGTATGCTTACTCGGATCCTGCATATCTTAAAAATCAAACTGTATATAAACGCTCAAAACCATCCGATATATATAGTCTTGGCGTGCTATTTTGGGAAATATCTAGTGGGATACCTCCTTTCAAAGATATGCCGAATTACAAAATTCCTCTAAAAACCATCAATGGCGAGAGGGAAACTCCAGTGGATGGTACTCCCGTAGACTATATAGAACTTTATTGTAATGCTTGGCATCACGACCCAGAGAAACGTCAAAAAATTGAAGATATTTGTCTCAAACTTGACAATATCCAACTAGAACCTGTGTTCAATACTCCTCATGAAAATATTCAACCAAAACCCGATCATGATAACGCAGAAACTGATTTGTATATCCATGATTCTGTTTCCACAATGGCTGATTCCATAGGTATTTGCTTAAATTTTTAGATTTCATTTGTTTTTTAAGATTTGCAAATGGAGGTCTCAACGCTGAAAATAATTCATTCATGCATTTATCTCAAGAAAACTCTGTCAAGGTATCTATGAGTAGTGTTATTTGTCACATAGAAAACAATTAATAATGAAAAAATATTATTTTATCGTGAAAAACTAGTCTCTTAGCGCAGAAAATGAACCAACGGCTATCGAACATGATCTCGGAAAGGACCTTCCCAATGGAAATGAAATTATAAAAGGTGATACCAAAACATTTCAATTTCACTCGAGATTAGCTGAAAATGGAGATACCGAAGGACAATTCAATCTTGGAAATTGCTACATCGATGGGATTGGAACCATTAAAAACGAAGAGATGGCATTTCAATGGTACCTAAAATCCGCCGAAGGTGGAAATTCAAAAGGGCAGTATAGCGTTGGATATTGTTATCTTAATGGGATTGGAATTACTAATGATAAAGAAAAGGCATTTGAGTGGTACCTGAAATCCGCCGAAGGTGGAAATACTTATGGACAAAATAGCCTTGGAATTTGTTATCAAAATGGAATCGGAGTTGTAAAAGATGAAACGAAGGCATTTCGATGGCGCTTGATGTCCGCTGAAGGAGGAAATGTTAAGGCTCAGTATAATGTAGGCTATTGCTATCAAAATGGAATCGGAACCGTAAAGGATGAAAAAAATGCGTTTCAATGGTACTTGAAATCTGGAGAAGGGGAAAGTCTTAAAGGGCAATTTAGTGTCGGATATTGTTATGAGAATGGAATCGGTACAACGAAAGATGAAGAGAAAGCATTTCAGTGGTACCTGAAGTCTGTCGAAGGTGGAAATTCAAAAGGGTACTGTTATCTCGGATACTGTTATCAAAATGGAATCGGAACCGCAAAAGATGAAGAAAAAGCATTTCAATCTTATTTGAGATCTATGGAGAGTGGAAGTCTTATCGGTCAATACAATCTTGGATATTGTTATGAAAATGGGATTGGAACTGCAAAGGATGAAGAGAAAGCATTTCAATGGTATTTAAAATCCGCTGAAGGTGGAAACGGCGATGGACAAAATAGGATTGGAAACTTTTATGAAAAAGGGATCGAAACCACGAAGAATAATGAGAAAGCGTTTCAGTGGTACTTGAAATCCGCCAAAAGTGGCGACAGTTATGGGCAAAATCAGGTCGGGAATTACTATGAGCACGGTATTGGAGTGACAAAAGATGAAATGGAAGCATTTCAATGGTACCTAAAATCTTCTGAAGGTGGAGATGCTGAGGGACAGTTTAATCTAGGAAATTGTTATATTAATGGGATTGGGACAGCAAAGGATGATGAGAAAGCATTTAATTGGTACCAAAAGTCCGCTCAAGGTGGAAATACAAAGGGGCAATACAATCTCAGATATTGCTATTTCAATGGAATTGGAATTTCGAAAGATAAGATGAAATTTCAGCGGTACTTGGAATCGGCCGAAGACGGTGATGTTAATGGACAATATAATGTTGGGTGTTGTTATCTTGATGGAATTGGAACTAATAAAGATAAACAGAAAGCATTTCAGTGGTTTATGAAATTAGCCGAAGGTGGAAACATTAATGGTCAGAAACAAGTTGGAAACTGCTTTCGAAATGGAATTGGAACCATGAAAGATGAATGCAAAGCATTTCATTGGTACTTTTTATCTGCTCAAGGTGGAGATTCTAATGCACAATTTAATCTAGGGAACTACTACTTAAACGGGATTGGAGTCTCGAAAGACGAAGAGAAAGCATTTGAATGGTACCTAAGATCTGCTGAAGGTGGTGATGTTAAAGGGCAATATAGTCTTGGATATTGCTATCAAAATGGAATTGGAACTATTAAAGATGAAGAGAAAGCGTTTAAGTGGTATTTAAGGTCGGCCGAATGTGGAAACAGCTATGGACAGAATAAAGTTGGAAATTGTTATGAGCATGGAATTGGAACAATCAAAGATAAAGAGAAAGCATTTCAATGGTACTCGGTGTCTGCTGATGGCAGAAATGTTATCGCACAATGTAATCTTGGATATTGCTATCAAAATGGTATTGGTACCGTAAAAGATGAAGAGAAAGCATTTGAATGTTACCTTGATTCAGCTGAATGTGGATATTTTACTGGACAATATTATCTTGGATGTTGTTATGAAAATGGAACAGGAACCGTAAAAGATGAAGATAAGGCATTTCGATGGTATTTGAAATCCACTGAAGGCGGAGAAAGTAGAGGGCAATATAAAGTTGGAACTTGTTATGAAAATGGAATTGGAACTACAAAAAATAAGGTGGAAGCGTTTCAATGGTACTTAAAGTCTTCCGAAAGCAAAAATAGTAGTGGACAGAATAAAGTTGGCTATTACTATGAAAATGGAATTGAAGTTATCAAAGATGAAAAAAAGGCATTTCAATGGTATTTAAAATCTGCTGAAAGTGGAAACACCGATGGTCAATTCAATCTAGCTTCATGCTATCAAAAAGGAATTGGGGTATTAAAGGATGAAGAAAAAGCATTTGAATGGTACTTGAGATCGGCCGAAGGTAATAATAGTAATGGACAGAATAAAGTTGGATATTATTACGAAAATGGAATTGGAACTACCAAAGATGAAAAAAAGGCATTTCAATGGTACTTGAAATCCGCTGAAAATGAGAATACCGACGGTCAATTTAATCTAGGCTCATGTTATCAAAAAGGAATTGGGACCATTAAAGATGAAAGATGGGCGTTTCAATGGTACTTACAATCTGCCGAAAATGAAATTACCAAAGGACAATATAGTGTTGGATATTGTTATCTCAAAGGAATTGGAACTGCAAAAGACGAAAAGAAAGTATTTCAATGGTACTTAAAATACTTGCGGGCAGAATAGCCTCGGTATTTGTTATCAAAAGGGAATTGGAACGGTGAAAGATGAAAAGAAGGCATTCCAATGGCGCTTGAAATCCGCCGAAGGGGGAGATTCCATAGGGCAATATAACGTTGGCTATTATTATCAAAATGGAATTGGAACCACAAAAGATGAAGAAAGAGCATTCCAATGGTACTTGAAATCAGCAGAAGGTGGTAATGCCAAAGGGCAATACACTTTAGGAAATCGTTATGAAAATGGAACTGGAACCATCAAAGATAAAGAAAAGGCATTTGAATGGTACTGGAGATCTGCCAAAAATGGGAATAGTTATGCAGAGAATAAAGTTAAAAATTGGTGATAAAATACTAAGGTTGAAAATAATTAAATATAGACTAGGTTACTGTTCAAACAGAGAATAACATCAGATCAGTTAAAAGCAGCAATATATAGGTTTGAAAAATTAACCTAAAGCACTGATCGATCAATTCTCGATAAATCCAAAAATCGCAGCGTAAGATGAAAACTTGAGTGAACATGCGGTAGCCAACTGAGACCAAGGCATTGTTGCGCGAGCAAGTAGAGCATTTTTAGGTATAATTATTATCAGCCTAAAGTCGCTGTTCTGTTTAAGTTTAGTGATATAGTGTATATTTCCAGAGAAAAGGTTGTATTTAGAACAGTATATATTTATGTGTTGATTAAGATATACTTTAGTTGACGAAAAAATTTCAAGATAGTAAGTGTTTTGGATAATAAATTTATTCTGAATGCAACTAGATACTGTACTTGTTATTGTATATAAACTATTGATTGATTTATTATATAAGTTGATTCTTTCAAAAATCAAAAAAAAACAATAGAACTAATTAAATAATTTAAATACTGAAAAGCTTTACAAATTATATATAATTTGATAATTTAATAATATTCTTGTATTATTTGATGAAACCCTCAAGATTAATATTCTTAATAATAGGATTTCCTAAAAAGTATTAAAAAGGTTGTTTCAATAAATAAATTTAATAAACCTTAATTTAAATTTAAATCTGATAAAGTTAATAGTAATTAATGATTTTTAATTTTTAAAGTGAAATTGGTTTTACTTTTTTCTCAAGAAGGTAGAAAATGATTGAATAATTTTTTGTTGTCTGTAATTTTTAGAATAATGCTAAAAGATTACTATTGAATAATATTATATATGACATACAAATGTTATCAATAAAAAAGCTTGTATTATTATTGACTATGCAGAAAACTCATACTCTAATATTATCCAAAATGAAATTATCATCGATCTTCCTACAATAGTTACTAATACTTTTATTCAATGTAATTATAATTCTTCCATGTGTTCAAAATTTAATTTTATCTTTATCAAATATTATTCCCACTAATACTGAGTAGGTATCCATAGCTGCTTGGTACCATATGGCAAGATATATTGTTTTAAACTTTCTTTTCAATATTAGTTATATGGTTACTGTAGGCAAGCTAGTATTTAACTCATTGTATTAACATATGCTATATACAAATCAAATAAAGAAATAATGTTTACCTACAAAAAAAAAAAGCATGTGTTTTCACAAAAATCTAAATTCTTAAAAAAAATTTTTTTTGATAATTTTAAGAACATACATAAATAAATATTATTTTTACTTCAAAAAAACCCAAAGAATTCAACAAACACAAATAAATTATCAACAAATGTATCACATCTGTTAAATCTCTTGTTACTAATACTTTTTTACTTGTTTGTCTTTTTAGACAAAATAAAATTTATTATAAGAAAAAGAAAAGAAAAAGCATACAATTTACAATAAGCTTAAAAGGAAAATCAGCATCAATCCCTTTAGCTTTTATCTAATTGTATACAAAGTTTTGTATCTCTCTAGACACCAGAAAAATTTTTGCTAACCAGATTTCTCCTAATAAATTAGGCAACCTTGCCATCAAACAAAAAATAAGAGAACATCAAACTTTCTCTAAAGAAATTTAATTCAAAAAGATTCAATGAATAAACAAGCAATAAACTCAACTATATCAATTATTCAAGCTATACAAGAAAAAAGTTTTCTAATCTAAAAAAACCAGAATCAGCTTATCTATCAAGTGATCTACATCACAAACCAAA